TGTTTCATGTTGTACAGCAGTCACTTCACAAATATGATCTTCCTGTCTGAGTATACTGTATGGGAGAATGGATTTCCCAGGAATGGTCTGTCTAATTAGAGAATCTTTTCTTTAATAGGGGCTTTAGTTTTCTGTAGAGTACCAACACTTTTGGTTGTACTTTATGGAGTTGTGTAGTTTAATGATTTACAGTACACTACACAGCACTATATACAGTAATTTGTCTGCCTTGGGCTGTGAAAGATGTGAGCATATATTTTAAATTATAGTGTACACACTGCTGTGTGTGTAATATGGGATAGAGGACAGAGAGACATATAAGCAGTTTGCAAGGACAAACATGGAGAGAAAGAGATTCAATTTTAGGAAGGTAATGAGATGCTACTAAAGCTGCAGTAAGTGAGCAGAATAAAGTTGGAAGTCTCCCCACAGTCATTTCCATTTGCAGTACATCTGAAGTGGGCATGAGCTCTGTTGCAATTGTTGTAACTTGAGGATGCTGGTTATCTTGATGGAAGAATCGTCTTGTATTTGAATGGGACCCACTGAGCAGTGGTTAAGTGTGAATGAGGGGTTGTGGTTGGGAGAAGTCAGGAATAGGCCTCTTGTTATAGCTTGTGGTTAGGAGAAGTCAGGAATTGAACCTCTTGTTATAGCTTGTTCATTTACTGTGCTTTTTCAATTAAACTATAATAGTTTTCAATTCCTTAACATTTAGAAATAGAAATTAAATTGTTAAAATATGGTATAGAGGTGAATGTGGCTAGGATGGGGCTTAAGGGGTTTTAAGACCTCCAAACTAGAAAAAAACCATTAGTTTGGCAGATAGGCGGGCTGTGGGGAGGGGAGAAGAATCTTAGATGTGAGTCACATTTACCATGCACAGAATAGTAAAATGTCCAAAGTATCACGGACATGTTTTTTTTCTATGCTTACCACTTGGCATTTGAAACCAAAAACAATTCAAGGTGCACTGATCATTTCAATGGTGATATTTGTGCATGTATGAGCAGAGATTGAAAATTACATAGGTCATTGGTCTAGTACTCTATATTTAGTCTGAGAACATCGCCAAAAAGGAACTTCTGGCCTAACAGACCAATAATCGATTCCAGATCCAGTATCTTGTGAACCACTGGGGCTAGAAATGAATACTGTATCCCAGAATGTACTCTGCTTCCCAGTAGTCGACCTCATTATTTTCTTGTCCTGGCAGGTCATGAGAAACTGAATCATAAATTCACACAATTCTGATTACCATCTTGACTGTAGGCATCCAGGCCAATTCTGACTTGATTTTAGTGATTGCCATTTTGAGAAATGTTCCACAGTGTCACAGGGGCACTGATTGGAGTCATCTGGGGAGGACTATCTGGTCTTATTGCTGACTGGACAGTTATGGGCCACTGTCTTAAAGTAAGCCTTTTGACTGGTTGATTATACTACCACTGCACAGACCACTTACTGGACCTCTGTCTGTGGGGATGCTACTTGATGCCCCAATTTAGCAAAGCACTTAAGTATAGTTTAAATTTACCATGAGAACTTGAGTCATTTCATTGAGTTTGTGGAATTGAGAGAGGTAATTTTAAATTGGAATCCATGTAATTTTATATGAAAAATTACTATATATATTTGGTTTAGAGAAACAAGAAATGGTAGGGCAGCTCTTACTAATTGTTTACCTGCGGACGTGGTTGGTAAACAAACTGGCCCGGCCCGCCAGGGGCTTTCCCTGAACAAGCGGCGTCCCAAGTTTGAGAAACACTGCATTAGAAGAAGCCATTTAAGGAACTGTCTTGAGGTAGGCCAATTAATCAATATTCAGAATGTCAAATACCATTAAATCCCATTGTTTCTCTGTTAACCAGTTTTTAACCCCTTGTCCTCTCCGGGGTACATGGCCTGACCATATGGTGATTAATAAGAGAAACTGTTAGCCTTTTAAGTTACAACAGCATTTCAGTATTCCAACAAAATCATTCCAAGAGTTTTAAATATAATTCATTGGCATGGTCTTAGTTAACCTCCTCTTAGTTAACCAATTCATGCTGACGTTTTGGGGAGGTTTCCTTGGGTTGGTTTCTTCTTGAGTCTTCTCTGTTTTTCTTATCTGTCTGGAGCAGCTTGCTTGTAGTGATGAACAGGATTAGTTGTGGAGTGCTTGCTCTCTAATCAGAGTAGGACGGGGTGTGAGTTTGGGGTCACTTCAGAATTATTTAAAACCTTCTCCTTATTTTCATGAAGTTATAGGTAAATACTCTTCTTTTCAGACTTGTTTAGATTCATATTGGTTGCTGTCACTCTTTCATTGGCTCCATGCCTTTGGGGTTGGTTTAGGTGACACTTACAGCTCCTGAACAAGCCTTGTTTTATGCATATGCAAAGTTTCTTTAATTGCCTTTATTCTTTAGGCAGGAAAGATCCAGATAACTTGTAAAGTTAGTGTTAAGTATTTCTTTTTATTTAGTCTTTTTTCTGAGATATTCTTTTAATTTTATCAGAGATTGACAGGAAATGAAATTCTGTTTCTAAAAAGTCCACGCCGTCCTCCTATTCTCTATATGAGAGTTAATAGTTCTCAAAACAGTTTTTAAAATTAAATAACTTGTATAAGGACTTGAGCTTAAGATGTTGCTTCTATGTGATAATTTTTGGAAAGATGATTTTTCTCATCTTCCTGAGTGGATTGAAAAAATTTTGAGCACTGCCAGTAACTAATTAATTCCTCATTAATATCAGTATTCTATACTTAAATAGCTGCTTACATTAATAATTAGTTTAGCATCAAATAGCACTCCTATATTTGTACATAAAGCATCTTATTATTCCTATAACAATGATATCAGGCAGTTACTATAAGAGGCCTGCATTTAGATACAAAATATTTGCAAATGTTCATATTAAAAGAAGCTTAGGCCATCAGCATTTGAGAAAAAACACACATTTTCACCTTTAAATGGAACGTGAGTTGAACGTAACCAGTATGTTTCTGTAAAACATTTCCTACCAGAAATATTTTCCAAGTTTGAAGAACATTTATGGTGGGAAATGTTTTACAGAAGATACTGGAGCAATATTTAGTTAAAATAGGTGGTGATGTAAATTTTGTAAAGTGGTTATCTGTTATTTGGGAGATTGTGAAGCTTTTTAATTATTTGCTGTGTGTGGTTCTGTTCTTTCTGTATTAGGGGATGTTGAATTATTGCGTCAGGGGCTTGTTGGTTTTCATTTGTGGTATGGATAGTCCTTTCACAGGATCATTAAATGATAAAGCTACTTTAAGTATCAGTTGAGGAAGGAAGTTGGATGGTTTGGAGTTGGGCGGATTATTTTATTATACCACAAGTGTTGGTGAAACTCAGTGAGAGGTTGTCTTGATTTTGCTTGGGTTTGGCTCTAACTAATTACATGGGAACAGAGCTTTAACAACTCATGACCTGAGTCAGATAGACAGATGCTGTGAGGCTGAGAGCTGATTTAGTCTGGAAACAGTGCAACGCACCTTTGATATTGAAATCAGGTGATTTATGTTTAATTTGGGTTTAGGGGTTACCTGTGGTCGGGTGAGCAATGCTTTTTTCACCTTTGATATGGGCTGCTGACTTTTTTTGTTTTATGGTGGCTGTTTCCAGTAAAGTTGAAGCCACTGTGCCATATTCTCTGGAATTGTTGTCATTCTACTTGAAAGACGTACCCATAGCTGAATTATTTTTTGGAAGTAAGTGACTCCCACATTTTATGATCCAATATATTGACTGGTCGTGGCTAGGAAAGCTTAAGTGAACCATTGTGTGTACTTCCATGGTTAATTAACTTTTCCAAGAGATGATCTTGGACCAGTGATCAGAAAGTCAACTGCCAGTTCAAAATTTTTTCTATTATTTGCCAGTTTAACTCCTACTTTCAAAGTACTTCTCATATAGTTTGGCTGTTCGACCAATCTGAAAACATTTGTATATGGAATAGGCTGATAAATACATACTTGGTGATTTTCACCTGATCAAAGCCACATGTTTATTCTATGTAGAGGATATCAAACGCAACCAAACTCTGCCATAAACATGTAAAGTGAAATAGAAGCTGATTGTGCACACACATCACATATGCTATTGAATCCAAAAATTACAAGCTAATTAACATCTATGGTAAATCTGTGAAGTAAATAACAAAATGCTAATTCATTTTTATATTATACCATGTGCTGCTAAATTAGGAAAGGAAGAAGAATCTTCCTGCATTAAAGTAATCTTAAATTTTCAAGCTGCAGTTAACGCTAAAAAAGAATGGGATAGTACCAATGCTTTTTCTTCTCACAGATCTGTTGTGACTAGACTTTAATAAAATCTTTTAAAAAAGTTTCTTGAAATCAAAGATTGAAATATTTCCAAATACAGTATTTTCATAAATGAGATAAATATTGCATTTATGAATGCATATTTCTTTGAATTATAAACTGATTTAAGTGTAATGATATATGACTAAAATAAACTGTCTCATTCCTGCAATTCAACACAAATATGAAAAATGCATCTTAAACTCATATTTTTCAGTTGAACTCTTGTTTTGTGAAACAATCAAAGAAAATAATCCTACATGAAAGTTTTGTTGCTTTGGTGTATGTGTTAGTCTTATTCGGAAATAAAAGTAAAAATCAATATCTGCATTTCTTTTAACTGGAATAACTGTATACAGATATAATTACATACAGGTATTGCCAAACTCTAGAAATTCAAAAGAGTATTGGTGACTAAAACATTCTTAAACTACAATTTATATTATATTAATCGGTTTTTAAAATTAAAAGTAAAATAAAGCACTTTCTTTTCTTAAAAGTAAATAAACTCCTAATTTTTCCTCATGTTGTTTTACAGTGTACTTTATATTAATAACCATGTTAATAACCATATAACGATTCAGCTATTTTGTCCATGCAGAATTATTATTGTTTCATAATTGTAGCGCTAAACATTTAATCCATTTCTTTGCATACATTTTAGGTATGCTATCCCTCCAGAACATGGAAAACGTCTTGAAAGACTAGCTCAAGGTAATATTTTCAACATTTCTAATCAAAGATGTTTGTTTCAAAGGTCCTTGATTTTCAGGAGTTTCTTTGATTTCAGGTAAAATAATTTTACAATCTCAGCACTCCTGACTTAATATGGTTTCATCCTCCTTAATATGGTTTCATCCTCCTTAAAATCCTCCTCTAAAATGCCTGAAACATGGTAGATGAATATTTTTCAAAATGTTTGTGTGTGTGTGTGTGTGTGTGGAGGGGGGCGGGGCGGAATTTAAAAGCAATTGAAGCTTGCTTTTTAAAACTTAATCTTTTTCTTGACTTATTTTTTTTACTATTTTATAGATACTTGTTTTGTCTCCAGATTAAAATTGAGAATTATGGATAAACAAATAATTAGACCCATTTCTGGGACTGGTACCACATGAGCTGTAGCTCTTTGAGATGATATTTTCACCAATTACATCTGAAATATGGTTAAGCATGTTTTAGTCAGGTGCTGTAGGCCAAAGATATTTCTAGGTTTATAGGTTTAAATATTTGGTTTAAAGAGCATGATCAGATGCAAATTTCCAAAAGTATATGTAAGTTTTTGTTTATACACAAATTGTGTGTGCAAAAGAATCTGATGCATATGTGCAAGTAGGGCATTTGCGCGCACACATACAATTATGCATACATTTGGGTTTTATTCTCCCTTGAGTTAATTCTACACTAGCCGCTGAGAACAGTAATACTTGGCATAGGTGAACTGAATTATTGACACATAATACTAATGTCCTGTGTATTTGTGATCATTAAACCATGGTACCATGGCCAAATTCCATCTTGGCTAATTACTTTCTACCTACTTAAATTCCCCTTGTAGTTCCAGTTGAGAGAGCTTTCCTCATTTTCTCCTTTTCAAATCCCATTTAACCTTATTGCTGGTGCAGGAGGCCTGCTATTTACCGCCATAGAGTTCACTGCAATTCATTTGTGAAGTGAGTGATCCTTAGTATAGGAAGGACTGGCGGCGTCGCCTATTATTGAGGTTGCCTAACACTTACCATTATAAGCCCTTGTGTTCAGTTACTTATAACTTGGCAAAACTTTTACCATTTGGTCTGAATTTTTCCATTTTTGGTGTCTGCCTCAGGCTGGTTGTAGGGTTTTTGTTGTTTGAAATTAAAAAACAAAACAAGCAAAAAGGTTGAGCCATTTGCAAGAATGAGGCTAGGGAATTATATGTTGTTTTGCCCATGTTAAAAAGTCCTGAGACTTTTTTTTTAAATTCTCTAGTGCATCCAGTTGGTTGAGCAGAGACAGGAAATTTGGCAGGGTATGGGGGAGTGGCCTTTGTGACAGGGATGTGCCTTTTGCAGTCCTTGTGAAAATTTGCCCAAGTCATAAGCTTTTATAAAAAATAAAATAAAATTGCAGCTTGCACATGCTCAGTAGAGACTTCTTCAATTTAAACAGGTAAAATCTTTGAAGATTCCATCCACATGAGACAAGCTTTCGAGCTACGCAGAGTATGACTGGAGAGTCAATCTCACTCTCTTTCCCTGGCTCAATGACTGTTCATTGCCACCATGAATGTCAATAATTGTTGTTTGCTGTGTGATAGCTGTGCTGGTGTCAGGGTATTGGAGAGACGGGGTGGGTGTGGTGATATATTTTATAGAACCAACGCCTGTTGGTCTCTTTCACCAACAGAAATTGGTTCCATAAAAGATGTTAGTTCACCCACCTTGTCTCTCTAATAAGTAGTCATTGAGCCAGAAAAAGAGAACGAGAATGATTCTGTAGCTGGTTGTTGGGGCACTTACGCAGGATGTTGGAGACGCAGGTTCAGGCTCCAATGATTATTAAATTACTTGTACACAGCGGAACAGCTTCAACAGGAGAGACTGAGAATGACTGATACCGGAATATTCTATAGACCTGTGGTTAGGGCACTCACCTGAGAGATGAGACCCATGTTCAAATCCTGTTTTTCTCATCAGGCAGAGGAGGGAATTGAACCCAGGTCTTCCACTTGGCTAAAGGTTATAAGGGAGGTTGCTGTTGCTGCCTCCTCCTGCTCAACATGAATTCACAAATAGTTTTGGGTTGCCAAAACTGCATTTTTCAGTGAATAGTTTATTCACTGAAAAAGTTTCCCCAGCTCTACTTCTGTCAGGATTATCCTTTAAAATGGAAAATGCAGCTTTTTGAATGGTTGAAACAGGGCAGGTAAAGACTTTGCACTTTTCCCCTCTTGCGTTGGGCTTTCTCTTAAGGCTTGAGCCAAAGCCTATTGAAGATGCTGGGAACACTCTTGTTGACTTCAGTGGTCTTTGGATTAGGTCCTAAGAGATACCGGTCCTGTAGACTACATAAGAAGTTTATTCATCCCAACATAAAATTTGGTATTGGCTACTAGTTTAGCAGACATTAAAGGTGACTATCACCACATTTTTTCACTTGTTTCAGTTCGTTCAATTCTCCATCAAATTTAAAAATGAACTCCAAGAATTACTTTCTTTTAAAATCATATGAACAATTATAGAGACTAGTTAGTTTGACACTTGTAGTTTTTTTATGAAAGTTTTGGCATACTAATAACTATAAAGCTGGTATGTTCTAGTAGCCCAATACATTATATTAATAATACCAACATAATTGTAATCTTGAACTTCTGGTAGGAACGAACTATTCTCGTGAATGTTAAAGTGGATGAGTCCCTGGGTCTGGATAGTAGATTAGAGTAGGACATGGAAGGTGATTACATGTGTATGTAAGGATTATAGTAATGAACTTTTTACTCCCTCTGACTATATATTCCCATATTTTCTTTAATAATTGCTCCATAATTCCTTATTATTTTGTTGCTAGTAGAGTTTGAGAAAGAGGCATCTGTGATCTTCATGATGTAGTTACTGCCCATTAAAACATGGTCAAAGTTTTAAAGTAAGCTGTTTTAAAATGATGAAAATGTCATGTCAGCCACATGGCTGCAATTTATCTAATCAGTAAAGGTTAATAAACTTAGAGGATGATGAGGACTTCAGACTTAATTACATGTTTATTCAAAACTCTTTTTGTGGCATAATTTTTGTGGAAATGCAATAGCTAAAAAGCTGCATGATTCAGAGGTTTAGTCTTGCTGACCAGATGCTTACCGAATTAATTAAATTCTCTTAAATAATTAAAATAAAATAATATATTAAATGTGATGAAGCATTACAGGTTGTCTAGGTCAAGGCAGTACTGTAGTGGGTACATAAGATTGAAGAAAGGCTAGGATATTTTCCATTATCTTGTCTGCACATCATAATTATCACACTTGCCTTTTATGCATGAATGCTTTCGTCTTTGGTTTCCGTTGAAATCTTGATTGACTGTGGCACCTACAAATATTTTATCTGAAAGACATTAGACTTGCATCTAATAAAGGCAGCAGTTTGATTTCGCCCTTCAGCTGCTTTCTCATTTATGTAGTTTTTTTTCAATTTTATGTAGACCTAAATGTAATAAAAATCTCAAGTGAGCTGTTACTGCAATTTTTAAACTTGTTGTTATGTTCATCTGTAATACCACAGCATTCATAAGGATTTTTGGTTGACAAAGTTGGTTGGAAAGTAGAGGCAGAGCAGCAAATCATAAGTGACAGTATGGAAGATTTTCAGATTCTTTAAATAGATTCCTTAATTATATAGGTTATTTTAGAAAAGAGATGACATCTATCTGTGATGTTCAATTATGTTACGCAAAGGGACTAAAGCAGAGTGTAATATACTGTAAGTAGTTTGTGAAGAATGTTTCAAAACTACAGTGTATGTAGTATAAGCTGATCTATTTAATACAGAAGTTCATAGCTATCATTTATGAATAAAATTATAAATAGTTCTTGACATTAATGCAGAACTTGATATATCTGTATCTGTCCATGTCTATCTAAATGTCTGTCACCTCATGCTTGCAAAAACTGAAAATTTGTGGCTGCTGAAGAGTTAAAGCTTTTGTCAAATGGCAATTTTATTTTAGTCAAAGTTAGTAGAGATGGAAATGAATAGATAACAAACTTTAGATTATTACATATACATCTGTGTATAATAACACTCATTTCATTGCAAGCAGCAGTTGCCATCTTCTGTGACTGTAATAGTCTGTACTTATGCAGAGTGTTACTGTCTTCCAGAGGTCACTATGACCATACGTGCTCATCCTCTTAATGCTTCATTTTTCTTGCAGTCTGGAAAATATCAACCTTCAAAGGGTTAATACATTACGAATCGATTATATGTTAACATTATAACTTAAACCCACCAAGAAAAAATAATCATAGCTATGTCTGTCTTTCCTTCCTTAACTGACATTGACAGAGGAGCACTAGATGGGGGAATGCAGGCCATAAGTAAAGTTAGTTGAGCTAAAGATGGGGAGACCATCTTTATTCTGAATTTCCTTTCTTTAGTCACTTTAAATTTTGAACTTTGCCACAATGATGATATAATTTTTGTATTTCCTATTTAAATCAATAAACTAATCATAGAAATACTGCAAGTCCATATAAAGTATCGGGCTAAAGCAGAATATATGTGTATTAATGTGTAGTAAGGTTCCTAAGTGTTTGCTAATTAATCCACAGGTCAGAATGGTTAAAAAATTGACCTGGTTTACAGGGAAAGTCAAGACAGCTATATAAAATTAAAAAATAATATACAGATGCTCCCTGACTTATGCAATCATTCCATTCCGGAAAGCCTTGCGTAACTTGAATTTTGCGTAAGTCGGAAATGTATACCTGTACGTTACGCAAAAATTTCCGCAACTCGAAAATCCTATTTCTGGTTTATGGAGATTTTTCTGTAAATGTGAATTTGCATAAGTTGGGTCTTGTGTAACCCGGGGAGCGTCTGTATAATAAATGAGAGAAAGGGGAAGTTGATAGTAAAGAATACAAATCAGAAATTAGGCATTGAAGAAAATTTGATAAGGGAAACAAAGACACACGTGGAGAAATCTATGTTCAACAGAGTTAAGAACAATAAGGAACAAAA